TAGGTTCTCAGTTGAATGAAAAACTCCTTCAAGTGTTCAGTGTAAGAGGATTTTCCGAGGGTGGAGCAGATGCTGGCTGTTATTGAGCCTCAATTTGCATTTCTTTGGCCCAGCTGGGTGGGGTTGAATCTCTGAGGGAGGGGATGCTGCTGCTCCCCAGAGCTCTGAGAATAAGCAAGATGGCCACCATCTTGTGTGGCTGCAACTCAGCAAAAACTCTGAGCACCCTCCAAATCCTCAGTGACCCCACACAGTTCCAGTCCAGTCTGCCTTCCCTCTACCAGAGCCCAAGGTGAGTGGCTGTAGTGAATTCAGTGCTCTGTCCCGGTTCTCTGCACTGTGGAGCTGGCTTGGGATCTTAACCCTGAGGGCAGTGCTCACAGCTAAGACTGGTGCTGTCCATGGGCTCCTAGCCCCCCTCTTGTGCCTCCGCAGACCTACCAGGCTCGATTCAGTGTCCCTGGTTATATGGTCCTCTCAAGCTGCTTTTCTGTTGCTTTTTGCTGATGATTTGTCTTTATTTTAGTTGTAATTCCAGTTTGGTACTGGGAGATCGTCTGTGTAGCTTCCATTCACTCCACTGCCATTTTTTTGAAAAGAGATGAACATTTATTTCCCCGGCACCTGCTTTACGTGGTGAGGCAGAATTCCCTAGAGAAGAACTTCCTGCCTTTCTTCCTCACCTACCCCTATTTCCTCCTTTCCTTGAGAGTAGTGTTAAGCCATTAAAAGTTTGTTTCCATTATCCTTCCTTCAACCAAATCCACGTTAACAAACAAATCTTAAATGCCTTCTCTGTTCCCATTTATTCTTCATACGTTGCCTGTCAAGCACGTTCCACCCAGAAATCAATAGGGACACCCTCACCTTTGAAAACTCTATTAGAATTTATAACCCCTCCTGTGTGATGAGTCCTGAGTCCCTCCCAATCCCCTGGATTTGAGGTGGAAGCACCACTGTGTCTTATTTTACCTTCTTCCTAGTGGGTTGTAATTCCACCATCCTCCTTCTACCAAATTTTAAATTATCTCAGAATCTTGTGTGTGCTATTTCTCTCCACACTGTCCCAGACATGGATTACAGACACGTTGCCTTGGTTTCAGTCCTTACACCAAACATTTGGGAGGGAAGCAGCCCTGATTGAAGATGCAGAGTGTTGGGGTGGTGATGGGGGAGGGGGTGCATTTTTCAGGTCCCTTCAGCCTATGCTGGGGCCTGAGATCTGCGACTGTTCATCCTTGCTCCACTCCCACTTTGCACTTGATTTTGTAAAACTTCAAACATATCTAACAGAAGGGAGAACATTATATGAACAGAATGTTCCCATCCCTTAATTTCAACTCACAATGAGTCCTTTCATCTGTACCCTCATCCACTCTCCTGTCGGGATTATTTATTGCAAAGTACACTTTAGATAACACTTCATCCACAAATGTTCAGCATGCTTTTCTAAAAAATCATCTTTTAAAAGCATAACCACCATATCAATACCCTCTCAAATATATAAATAGCAATTCCTCAATATCAGTAAATATCAAGCCAGTTTTCACACTCTCATGGTCCTTCCTCTCTCACATCCCATCCTCTCCACCACCTACCCCACCCCTTGGGCTTCATCTGGTAGCAGTGATACAGAACCACAGATCAACTGCCCCATGGGGCACAGTAGGCACACTACAGCCCACAGTATTTTGAGGAGCTCACAAAAAAGTTTTCGTTCTTTTTAAATGAGAAAAAAAAAGTGAACTTTTAGTTCACAGTGTTTTGATATAGAATATGATTATTCCATCTTTACATCAGTGCAGTCACAAAATATAATTTAAAATATTAGTTTGAAAAAGAAAAGCCCCAGAAAGGCAAAAGTGCCAGGGTCCACAAGAGCGCTGGTGCAGCCCTGAACCTGACATCTCCTTTCCACTGTCTCAAAGGCATCCTCTTATCTAAGTGTCCAGAACTGGACACGCAATCTCCACTCTCTCTGGTCCTTTCCCAGTGTTCCCTACATCAGTGAAGGCTCACTAGTGTGTAAATAGAGATCACACAAATGAGAACACACCAGGCTATGTATCCAGAGCTAGCTTGAGCAAGGGAGTCAGCTGTCACCACGTGCATTTGGCAGAGACTCCAAGGCAGACAGAGGAGGGGGACAGCTTGACAGTGGAGGTGGGGGGCAGGATTTGGGATGCTCTGATCAGAGCCTGTTGACGGGGAAGTTGGAAATGGGCTCAACAGAAGCAGGGAATCTTCTATGATTGGCTTAAAGAGTATATTTTGTTTTTTGTTGGAACTGGGGGCAGAAAATAAGCACCAATAAGGACCACTGACCAAATCCTGGCCATTCTGGGCTGACTGCTACAGAGGATGTGAGTCAGAGTTCTATTGTCCTATGTGGCCTGCCCACTGTCTGTTTATATATTCAGACACTCACTATCAATCTTGTTTCCTCAGCTAGAAAGCCAGGAAATATCTTGAGTGCTTCCCTCTCTCCCATCCCATATCTAGTCCATCACCAAATCCTGAGTACCCAGCCCATATATCTCTCAAGCCTGTCACTTCTACCTCCACCATGGTTCCACCAAATGATCTTCATCTTTCATCTGATCTACTAAAGAGCCTCCTAACTTGGTCTACCTACCTCCACTGTCTCCTCCTCAATTTATCTGTCAAAGTAATTTTTTCAAACGGCAACCTTGATTGCTTAAATTACATCAACAACTCCCATTGGTTTTAAGATAAAGACTAAGATCTCGACAGTGGCTCCAGGGCCTCTCATGGTCTGGCTCCCATCCTTCTGCCTCCAGCATCACACAAGCCCTTTTGTCTTTCAGTCTGAGTCACACCATTCATACTCCAGTCTCTGACTCACCTGCCGTGGGGATTTCCTGGAAGGCTGTGGGTAGCTCTTGCGTTAAAGGAATAGGTGAAGGGCCAGGGTAGCTGCAGGTAGTAGGAGTAAAATGAAATCTCATCAGGACACCACTACTGGGTGACATCAGCTCTGACTACCCTGTCCCTTGCACCAAAGGGACTCAAAGCCCTGGAGGACAGTTCAAAGGGCTTGGCTGGCTTGCGTCACATGCCCATCCCTTGGCCAGGACACCTTAAACAAAAGTCCCAATAAAGCATTAAACAATGAAGAGAAAGCAATTCCCCAAAATAGAAGTGGGAATCCTTATCAGAAAGAGGAGGAATGAATGTGGGGTGAAACTCCCAAATCAACAAATGTCCACTAGACACATGTTCCCACTACCTGGACCAACTGCCTGTTCCCTCTTTGGTTAGTTAGCCCTACTCAATTTTAGAGTCCATCCCAGTTTTCCCTTCTTTAAAGATGCCTTCTCTTACCTTCCCAAGGGAGTCATAGTGCTCTATTCTGTTCTTTCTTAGTACTATAACTTCTTCTTCTTAGCACTTGCCACTGTTGCAATTTTACATTTATCTGTTATTGTTTGAATTACAAACATTTCTCCCAATTGTCTAGTAGTCTGTGAAAGCAGAGCCCATATATGTTTGGCTTACTATGATATATGCAGAGCTTAGCACAGTACCTGGCAAGGCAAAAACACTCGACATGCATTTATTTAATGTATGAATCAAGCCATAAATAGATTGATTTTCCCAGTGAAATAAACTATGCCACTCCTTTTTTATTTTTTATTTTATTTTTTTATCCTCACCCGAGGACATTTTTTTTTTATTCAGGTAGAGTGGGAGGGAGAGAGAGGAAGAGAGAGAGAGAGAGAGAGAGAGAAAGAGAGAGAGAAACATCGATGTGAAAGGGACACATCGAGTGGCTGCCACCTGCACGACCGACCAGGGCCGGGGACAAACTGCAACCAAGGTACATGCCCTTAGCGGGAACCGAACCCGGGTCTCTCGGGACCGCAGGCCGATGCTCTAAGCGCTGAGCCAAACCGGCCAGGGCTGCCACTCCTTTTTTAGAAGGCAAAATCAGCTAAATTTGTAAACAATGTTTTCCTATTCACACGTTATTAGATAATGTTCTTATTAAATCCATACAATAATGCAGTAGAAACCCACTTTACACATTAAAAAAAAAAAAAATGAGGCACAAGGAGTTAGGGAATTTGTTCAAAATCACATATCTGATCAATGATCCATGGGGGATTCGAACCCAGGTCTTTCTGATTCCAAATCTCAAGTTCAAAACTACTATGTAGTATTGTCTCTCCATAACACTAGTTAGCTTCTTAATGCAAAAAAAAAGCCTTAGAGATAGAGCTCATTCATCTATAAAATTGATTTTCAAATAAGTTTGTTTTCATGTAAATCCTGATACGTTATAAAAGTTGGTTTAATTTGTAAAATATTGATCCATATACCACTAGAAAATTCTGGGCAGATGCAATTTGACAGAGAATTATAACACTTACCAAATGCATTGCTTTTTCTGTCCATCATAAATGACACCAAGTGTAAGCCAAGGATTAGAAATTGGTGAAGGTGTGATCATTTAAGGTAACCTGTTCTCTAAATTTCACCTACAAATTATACAAAGCATTTAGACTTGTTCAAAAAGTTCTCACTATTTCAGAGTTATTTCTTGGGAATGAGGGGAGATTGGAAACATAACACAAAGACTGTTTTCAATCTCAGGACTCATGAGAGAAGAGACCAAGTCGAGATCAGCTACAGAGGAACGTGGATCTCACCGGGACAAGAAAAGCACAATCAGCCAATATAAGGAAGCGTGTTTCTTCAGGTCAGTGACAGCAGCGAGACAGCCAAGACACGCGTGAGAAGATAGTAAGGATAAGGCAGGCTATCATCATCTCTTTTATTGCATGCTGGAGTCCCCAGCCCTGTGAAACACATGATTACGGGTCACAGCCACAATTGCTAATTGATGGTCACAGTGGTGTTTTCTGGATGTCTCAAATGTTTTTGAGGTTGAGGGGTGAATACAAACTAACAGTAGCAGACTGAGGAACTAAGTCATCCAATGTCTAACTAGGTTTGAGTGATGTTGTTTTCTGTATTTAATGTGTAATAGGTTCTGCCAACTGCAGGATCCTTGGAGGACACTGTGCTTTCAAAGCAGCTGGCTTGACTTTAAAGACCTCTGGATCGTAGTACACAAAATGCACAGGAGTCCTGCAATGGGGGAGAAAAAGAATCCAACCTGAAATAAAATGAACGGAAAATGGAACTAACATTTCTCAAGCATCACTATGTATTAGGCACAGTGATAGGATCCCATTTTGATTTTCATAAGCACCCATGAAATAGAAATCATGGCCTCCACTACACAGAAAAGGAAATGAAGTCTTGGGGAAGTTATAAGAATGATCTGTGGTAAATGCAGGTTGGTGTACCTGTCAGATTCGAACGCCTTTGCTCTTTCCACAGAAAGTAAATTCTGGAAATTTCTCAATAATTGGGTGATGTTTTAAAAAAAGTCAGACAGTCCTCTGGTGGACTTGAAGAAATCAAATTTTTGAAGTTTCCACCTTTAGCACCTTATCACATGATCTAACTCTTCTCTTCCCTTTGTCAATGAACAGAAAATAAGCTTCATTTCATTTGGTGTTGAACTTTTTTTTTTTTTAAGGAAAAACACCTTATAAAAATTTAAAAATATCATGTTACATAAGAACTAACGTATTTCCTGTTCCCTGGGCTCAAGAGCTCCACTTTTTTCAGTGTCTCCAGGTTTTCCTGGTGATGCTTAAAAGGGGAATCAGGTATTGACCCTTGAAGACAACAAAATGAATTGAGGTTCAGGCAAGTTAAGGGGTCTTCCAAAAGGTAAACAGGAATTAGAGACTACTTCTTCTTTGTTGAAGTACTTTCTTATTTATTTGAAATAGGTCATATATGTACATGGTACAAAAACATTGAAAATTTTTAAAAGCCTATTTAGTGAAAAATAATTCTTTCTCCCATCCTGGGTCCCTAGCCCCGCCCCCCAAAGTAACCATTGTTACTGCATTCTTATATACCCTTCTGAGATATTGTAAGCATATGCAAGCAAAAACATGGCGCATGCCTATTTTCCCTTGCACAAACTGTAGCATATTATGTGCTCTGTTTTGTCATTTGTTTCACTTTGAGCACATGTATTAGATACATAATCCCATGTCCATAATTATAGAGTTGTCTCCTAGATCTAGGTTGCAATACTAGTTCACTAACCCTTTAATTATAGCCTTATATTTATGGTAAGAAGACCATAGATTTGTCACGGTAAATGTAACAAATAAGTGATATGTTTTTAAGAATTTATCACATTTCTACAGTTCTTTTCACTGGCCTTATTAGGTCAACTTTCCTCTGTTCCCAGCAAACCATCCTTTCCTGTCCCATCTCAGCCTTAAGTTGACATACCTTGCGCTTGGATTAGCTAGTTCTTTAATTCTGGGAGTTACTTTGGAATGCAAAGCAGCATAAGACACTGGCCAGGAAGGATCACGGTTGGGTAAATAATCTTCATGAAGAGGTTTGGGCTTAGCTAGAGCTATTATTCGAGGGCTAGGTTTGGCTAGCAAGGCAGCTTGGGATATCTACAGGGGAAACAAAAAGACACAAAAATATATCCCAAAATTTTACCACAGATCCCTATCTTTACAGCTATATCCCCAGTCAAGACACATCTTTTCTTTCCTGGATTCCTACAATAGATTCCCAACTGGCTTCCCTGCTTCCATTCCTGCCCCCAGACAATCCAGCATTCACACAGCACTGGCTGAGGAGAGAATGAGGGTTTCAATGAGTGTGTTCCAAGAGCCAGACAGTGTTCTGAGTCATGTACCTACATCATTGCTACTTAATCATCATAACAACTCCATGAGGTAAGTACTTTCTAAAGCCCAAGTCAGACCATGTCACTCCCAGGGTTTAAAAGTGTATTCCCATCTTGCTAAGAACAACATTTGGGCTCCTTACTGTAACCTAGAAGGCCCTACATGATCGGGCTGCTACCCCACTCCCTACCTTGATTGCTATGAGGCCTCCCCCTCCCATGATCACACAAGGCCCCTCCTGCCCAGCTCTTTCCATCTCAGGACCTTTGCACTAGCTAGTTCTGCTTCGATTCCTTTCCTCAATCTTGTAGTGGCTGCTTCTTCATCATTCAAGTCTCTTGACTCAAACATGTATGGTTAGGACTTCTTCCCTAACCATACAAAATCAATCAGCCTTTCAGATTACCCTCTTCCACAGTACCAATGTTCCTCATAGCACTTACCAATACCTGACTTAGCTCACTTACCTTGTTGCATATATATTTATTGTGTGCTTCTTCCCCTTAGAATATAAGCTGCTTGAGAAAAGTGTGGCAGGTCCTCAAATAATGTTGTTTCATTGTAACATTGATGAAATGCCTAGGAACTTAACTCTTGTTTATACCAATTAGCCTATGGTAAAATTGGTTTGGTTATGTCAATTTGCTTAAGGTCACAGAAACTATCAACAATGTTAAGTGAGAACTTACTGTATTAGTTTGCCAAAAGCTGGAATAGGCTCTGGCACATAACTGGTACTGAATGAATATATATTGACTGACTGGTTGATGAATTGCTTTTGGTCTCACTTCGAAAATCACATTTGCCAGGTTGCCTTTCTATTATGTTGCTTTATTGGTACAATAGAAGGATGACATATAGCCACTATTCTCTCTTACGTGCACATTGAAAAGAATTTGAATGGATAACAAACACCACTCAGTACCCCTGAAAGTGTTCTGTATTGTAGTGGGGTAGATTTGATTGGGGATCTAAGTGTATGATTATCTGCAGTGGTATGGCTCTTTAGAAAGATTTTTAAAGCCCCCCCCCCAAAATTCTAGCAATTAAAGAAAGAGGCCTATAATTCTCATTTTACATACCAAAAAACTGAGAATTAAATTGATTTGCCTAAGGGTCAGAAGGCAAGTCATGTCAGCAAACTTAAAACACTCTCTGAAGGGTTTTTAATTCCCAGACTAGTTTTTTTCCTTCAAATAGAATTCCATATCAAATCCTCAGATTCTGAGAAAGAGGGTGAAATTGTTCCCACCTCCTTTGATAGCATAATCATTAGATAATTATTGAAAACTCAGCTGGGATTGGGCACCCATTTGCCACTACAGTGAATGGAGGGGAGTGTCGAGGAGGAAGAGCAAGGGGACCATTGAACGTGCCAGGCTCTCTGTGCTGAGCACAAGCCTTATCTATTGTTAAGGTGTTGACAGCTGTCCAAGTGGGAACTGTTATCTGTACAGTCCCCTTGCTCCCCTTGCCCCACCCAACTTCAAGGTCATCCCAACTTTAGGACTGTGGCGTGTACTCTTCCCTTTACTAAAATATTCTCTTCAAGAATCTTCACTTAGCCAACTCCATCTCATCAGTCAGGTTTCAGCTCCAAAACCCTTCCTCAGAGAGCTTTCCTCTGATAGGATGTACAAAGTAGCTTATTCCCATAATCACCAATGTCCTATTTTATTTTTTTCATAGCACTTATCACTACCTAACCTTATCTTATCTGTCTACTTATTTATTTTTTTGTTTCTCTCCATCTTGTCCACTAAGAACAGTGTCTGGCACACAGTGGGTATTCAAGTACTTGTAGAATGAGTAAGGCTCAGGGAGGTTGTCACAACATCATAGAGCTAGAGTGGAAAGGCTGTAATTTGAACCCAGCTCTTACTGGCTCCAAAGTTCATTCTCTTCACCCTCTACCCCCAGTCCCTCTTTATCTCTTGCAGGTAGGTCTTCCTTCCTGCCACAGACTTCTCTTTAAAGATTCTCTTTTTCTTTTCTTTATTTTAAATTTTTTTTTTAATCCTCACCCGAGGACATTTTTCCATATTTTGTTCAGATAGAGTGGGAGGGAGGGAGAGAGAGAGAGAGAGAGAGAGAGAGAGAGAGAGAGAGAGAGACTTCGACGTGAAAGGGACACATCGAGTGGTCGCCACCCACACGACCCAACCAGGGCCGGGGACAAACTGCAACCGAGGTACATGCCCTTAGCAGGAACTGAACCTGGGTCTCTCTGGACTGCAGGCCAACGCTCTAACCGCTGAGCCAAACCAGCCAGGGCAAGAGTCTCTTTTTCAATGACTTTGGCCAGTGCCCTATAGAGGAAAAATAGCACCATAGGAACAAGCAGAATGTGAGCTGAAGGATGCCAAGACAGTGATGGCTTACAGGACGAATGGGCATATCACATCTTTCTCTTGGGTAGCACAGACCCTCTATTTTGATCTTTGGGTGAGCAAGGTCTATAATTCTTTGAGTTGCAACAGCATTCAGGGAAGAAACTGGAATCTTGGTTTCAATCTAGAAGAGAAAAATAAAACAGCACCTGTAAGTATCTAATAATAAACACCATCTCGATCAAGGTTACAGAGTAGGTCTGACCTCTGGACCAGACTTCTCAACAAATCCAGCAGAAAGAATGAGAATCTTACAGTAACCCATAATCATAGCTGAAAGAATCAATTCCCATCTTTCTTAAACTAGGTTGTATGGATTCCAACTCAACTTTTCAGGAACTTACTGTTAAACTAAAGATGGGGAAGAAATGTCAGTGTTGTATATTGTCTAAGAAATAAATGGCAATGCTGATTAATGGAGTGGTAAACTTAGCCAAGAAGGAAGGCCCAGCCCTACCACATGAGAACACTATAAGGGGCAGGGCTCCACTTTGTTCTGAACTATGTTTGCCCTTTGGAAATTGGGACTCACACTATCATAAATCCCCATGCTTCGAGTAAATTTTAGTGGCTCTCTTCTAAGTTGAACAGATACAAAAAAGAAACCAAAACCAGCCCAGCCAGTGTGACTTAGTGAATTGAGCGTCAGTTCCATAGATTGAGAGCTCCTGGTTCAATTCCCAGTCAGGACACATGCCTGGGTTGTGGGCTCGATCCCCAATAAGGGGTGTGCAGCAGGCAGCTGATCAATGTTTATCTCTCACATCAATATTTCTCTCTCTCTCTCTCCCTTCCTCTCTCTCTAAAAGTCAATAAAAACATATTTTTTAAAAAAGAAACCAAAGCCAAGAGGAATAAAGACAGAACCCCATCCCATTCAAAAATATTTGTAATGTTAAAATATTTTAAACAAAATGATACTTGCACAAGAATATATCAGTGTAACCAACTAGATAATTCAGAAATATAATTGAGCACAGTTACTCAATTTTTTTTTTTTTGTCTAGAGTCTCTTATACTCTTTTTTTTCTTTATTGATTTTAGAGAGAGAAGAAGGGAGAAGGAGGGAGAGATAGAAACATTGATAAGAGAGAAAATCAATTGGCTGCCTCTGCATGCTCCCCACTGAGGATTTGGCCCACAACTTGGGCATGTGTTCTGGCTGGGAATTGAACTGGCAACCTCTTGGTACATGGGTCAATGCTCAACCACTGAGCCACACTGGCTGGACAAGTCCCTTATACCCTTAAAAATAACTGATAGTTCCCAAAGACTGAGACACTTAAGAAAATTTATTATTTAATCTTTAAAAAGTAATCACAGTACATGTTACTATAAATATTTTATGACATACAACTATATTTCCCAAAACAAAAGATTATGAGAAAATTGGTATGTTTTACATTTTCACAAATCTCTGTAATATCTGGCTTAAGAGGACACTGTTGTTTCAGTTGAAGTATATGAAGAAAATCCAGGGAAGATGGAGGCAGGCAGGACCAGAGTGAGGGTGAGTGTGTGAGAGTGTGAGGGAGTGTAAGTGAATGTGAGTGTGGACGGGCAACCTTGGGCAGTGCAGAAATGTGAGGCAGAGGGTTCCTGTGCTGTGGGTGGGAAGCAGCTGGCTACCATGGCAAGCGACTTGTCAGGGCACTTCTCCCTGCATGGCTGGGAGGCCCTGCCATTTTGGAATATCCCAGGTCTTCTCTGAGAGGAGGCAGCAGGTAGTGGCTAGGGCTGAGTAACCTGAGTCCACCAGAGTGCCTTACACTGTCAAACCAGTGGACCCCACTGTTTCAATGCAGACAGACGCACAGTAGCAGCACTATCAAGGTGCCTGCTGTAGTAGCTGCAACTGGCCAGGAGCTGAGCACCATCCCCAACAGCAGAAGCCTGATCAGAGCCCAGCTCCCACAACAACAGTGACTGGGCAGGAGTGGAGTCCCACTCCCAACAGCAGCTGAGGCTCGGGAGCTGAGACACAACTCCAGCAGCAAAGGCTCTGGAGTGGACATCCATCCCCAGGCAGCAGCTGAGATAGGCAGCTGAGACCCATCCCCAAGACCTACCCCTGACAACTGTAGCAGTGGATTTGGAGTGGAGTCCCTCCCCCCGCAGCAGCAAAGCCTCGGGAGCTGAGCATCCTCAGCCCCCAAAAGCAGCAGAGAATTGGGAGCAGAGAGCACCCCCTGGCAACAGCAGCAGCAGTAGCAGTACAAACTGGGAGCTGACACTTGTCAACAGCAGTGACTGATCAGGAACAGCCCCACCAGGCAGCAGCATACCCCAGAAGCACACTAATGTGACCCACGCACCCCAGCAAAGAACCAGTGGGACCCATGTACCCCAGAAGCATACCAGGAGGACCAACACACCCTAGCAGCACACCAGCAAAACCAATGCACCCCAACAGCACACCAGCTGGACCCACACACCCCAAGAGCACCTAACACAATAGACCAATACCAGTTGCCAGTTGTAAATCCTCCAGGACCCACAGCAGGTAAGAGGCACCACATACCAAAACAGTCTGGGAGGCACAGCAGTCTATTTTGATACACACTGACCTGCCTACACATTCCAACATCCCTCACCAGGCCTAGAACTACCAGATTGCTAAAATGGTGAGACAAAGAAACAACACCCAAATGAAAGAAAAAAAGGAATCACCAGAAAAGGCACTACATGAAATCGAAGAAAGCAATCTGTCAAATAAAGAATTCAAAGCAATGAATTTAAGAATGCTAAAACAATTTAGTGAGAACTACAAGCAACTTAATAAGAATTATGAAGAGCCCAGTGGAAACTGCATCAGCTTAAAAAATAAGGAAGAAGCTATGAAAAAAAATCAAGAGGAAATAAAGAATGATATAGCTGTTATGAAAAATACTTTAGAAGGATTCAATAGTAGATTTGAAGAAGCTAAAGACTGAATCAGTGAGTTGGAAGACAAGGTAGAAAGAACATCCAAATAGAGCAACAAATGGGAAACTAAATTAAAAAGCAAGAGGAAAGTTTAAGGAAGCTTTGGGACAATACAAAATGTAACAACATTTGCATCATAGGGGTACCATAAAGAGAAGAATCAGAGAAAGGAATAGAGAACCTATTTGAAGAAATAATGATAGAAAACTTCCCTAAATTGGTGAAGGTAAAAGTCACACAAGTCCAGGAAACACTGAGAATCCCAGGCAAGATGAACCAAAAAAGACTCACAGTTAGACACATCATAATTAAAATGGCAAACATTAAAGACAAAGAAAGTATCTTAAAGGAAGCAAGAGACAGAAAGTTATCTACAAGGGAGCTCCCATTAGACTATCAGTGGATTTCTCAATAGAAACACTGCAGGCCAGAAGGAAGTGGCATAAAGAATACAAAGTAATTAAAGGCAAGGGTCTGAATCCAAGACTACTCTATCCAGCAAGGCTATCATTCAAAATTGAAGGAGAAATAAAGAGCTTCACAGACAATAAAAATAAATAAATAAAGGAATTTACCACCACAAAACCAGCACTGCAAAAAATGCTGAAGGGACTGTTGGAAGGAGGAGGAGGAGGAGGAAGAGGAGAAGGAGAAGGAAGAGAAGGAGGAGGAGGAGGAGGAGGAGGAGGAGGAGGAGGAGGAGAAGAAGAAGAAGAAGCAGCAGCAGCAAAGAGAGAAAGAGGAACACAGGCATAAAATAAAAATGGCAACTAATGAGTATCTATTAATAATAACCTTAAATGTAAATGGCTTAAATGCTCCAATCAAAAGATATAGGGGGGTAGCTGATTGTATAAGAAAACAGGACCCATATATATGCTGTCTACAAGAGACCCACCTCACAACAAAAGACTCACAAAGGATGAAAGTGAGAGAATGGAAAAAAATTTTCAAGCAAATGGAAATGAAAAAAAAGCTGGTGTAGCAATACTCATATCTGATAAGATAGACTTCAAAACGAGGGCCATAATAAGAGACAAAGAAGGTCACTACATAATATTAAAAGAATCTATCCAACAAGAAGATATAACCCTGGTAAACATATATGCACCAAATACAGGAGCACCAAAATATATTAAAAAACTTCTAGATGACTTCAAGGGAGAGATCAATAGCAATACAATCATAGTGGGTGGCTTTAACACTCCACTGACACCACTGGATAGATCTTCTAGACAAAAACTTAACAAGGACAGAGTCCTTAAATGACAAACTAGATCAGTTGGACTTAATTGATATTTATAAAACATTTCACCCCAAAACTGCAGAATATACATTCTTCTCAAGTGCACAAGGGCCATTCTTGAAGATAGACCACATGTTAGGACACAAAGTAAGTCTCTACAAATTCAAGAAGATTGAAAGCATCTTCTCAGATCACAATGGCATGAAACTAGAAATCAATTACAACAAAAACACTCAAACACATAAATAGCATGTTATTAAACAATAAATAGGTTACCAAGGAGATTAAAAATGAAATTAAACACCTCCTGGAAACCAATGAAAACAAACACACAACAACACAAAATTTATGGGACACAGTGAAAGCTGTCCTGAGAGGAAAGTTCATAGCACTACAGGCCTTCCTCAAGAAAAAAAGAAAAATTCTTTTTTTTTTTTGTTCAGGAGAGAGAGGAACAGAGAGAGAGAAACATCGATTTGAAAGGGACACACCGAGTGGCTGCCACCTGCACGACCAACAAGGGCCGGGGACAAACTGCAACCAAGGTACGCGCCCTTAGTGGGAACTGGGTATCTCTGGACTGCAGGCCGACGCTCTAACCGCCAAGCCAAACCAACCAGGGCAAGAAAAATTCTTAATTGACTTTCTAAGCCTACAACTTACAGAACTAGAAAGTAAACAAAAAGAAAATCCCAGAGCAAGTAGAAGGAATTAATAGTAAACGTCAGAGCAGAAAAAAATGACATAGAAACTAAAACAAATTCAAAAGATCAATGAAACAAAGAGCTGGTTCTTTGAAAAGAGAAACAAGATGGATGGACCCTTAGCCAGACTCACCAAGAAACAAAAAGAGAGGACCCAAATAAACAAAATCAGAAATGAAAGAGGAGAAGTAACAACTGACATCACAGAAATACAAAGGATCATTAAAACATACTATGAACAATTATATG